AAAAATTACTTAAATTTTCATCAAGTGAATAATAATTTTACGCATATAAATGGTAAATGAATAGGAATTTTAGGCATATGAACAGTTTGAATTCTCGCGTTACGTATACGCTATAGACCGAACAAACATATTTATAGCGAGTTTGACAATATATATGATGTTGTCGGTTAATTAAAATATAATAAATTAAATAAAAAAGATAAAATATCATCTAATTTTATAATTTTTAATCAAAATTTTTATCTATACATTTTTTTATGTTTTGAATAAATTTTGAAGTAAAAAAAATAATTTATTTTTCTTATGCATTTATTCCAAAATAAAAACCCATAATAAACAAATTTTAATATAAATTTTTTAAAAAAATTCTTAATATTTTTTTTTAGATAACATTGCATCGAAGAACTAAAGCAACAATTAATATAAAAACTTGTATGAAAATTAACAAATTAAGCTTTTTTATTGATGAGAAGATTTTTTTGTTAATATGTACATTTGATTTATATATATTTATTTACGAAATAATGAATAATATTAGTATACAAAATTGTATTTGAATTATTAAGCGGTTATTCTAAAATATTATTTTAATTATTTTATTTGAAATAATTAATTTTAAAGTATAAAAAATAATAGCAAATAGTTGGTGTTTTGTATAAATGTATAATTGATTTCTAATAAAATCAATGACTCTATTATTATTTTTTATCTATCATGACCACAATAAATGGATGAAATGTATAGAATAATATTTTAAAAAATTAAATTATAAAATATATATTGAAGTTAATAGAGTGCAATAAAAACTATAAAATTGATTTCGATAAAATTTGATTATATAGAGAATAAGAAAATAAAATACATATATTCTATTTTGAAACTTTGTTTATATAAGAATTAAGCAAATAAAAACTAATATAAAAAAACTTATTCAAATCCATACATAGAGAAAATAAATCATATTTATTAATAAATAAAATTATATAAAAATAAGAATAAAAATTAATTTCATGAGAATTTTTGTAATAAATCGAAAAGATCAATTTTAAACAATAAAATATATATATATATATATATATATATATATATATATATATATATATATATATATATATATATATATATATATATATATTTATTATAAAATATAAAAACATATTGTATAAATTATATAATCGTTAGTTTGTTTGAAAAAAATAACAATTGATTTTTAAAATTTTTAACACCTAATTAAATACAAAAAGAACATAAATTCATGGAAAATAAAGCAAAGGAAAAAAACCAAAAAAAAAAGAAAAGAAAAGAAAAAGAAAAGGCATGTAGTGCATGAGCTAGGAATTAAAATTTTTATTTTAAAATTTTATGGACCAAAACAAAATAATTAAAAAATTTTTTTAAAAAAAAAAAAAACTAAGTGTGAGTAGTACATTGTGAGGGTAACATCCAATTAAATAAAAAAAACATAAATTGATGAAAAAAATCAAAATAAAAAAACCAAAGAAAAAAAAAAGAAAAGGCATGTAGTGTATCAGTTAGGAATTAAAATTTTAGGGACCGAAACGAAATTTCAAAAAAAAAAACCCATGAGTGAATATTATATTGTGAGGGAGTGAACAAGTGTTGACACTCGTATCGAATAATATATACTATGTTGTTGGTTAATAAAATATATGAAATTAAATATAAAAGATAAAATTTCATCTAATTTTATAATTTTTAATCAAAATTTGTATCTATACATTGTTTTATGTTTTGAATAAATTTTGAAGTAAAAAAATATGATTTGCTCTTTCTTATGCATTTATTCTTAAATAAAAACCCATAATAAACAAATTTTAATATAAATTTTTTAAAAAAACGTCTTAATATTTTTTTTATAACATTGCATCAAATAAATAAAGCAATAATTAATATAAAAATTTGTATGAAAATTAACAAATAAAGCTTTTTTACTAATGAGAATATTTTTTTTTAAAATGTACATTTGATTTATATATATCTATTTACAAAATAATGAATAATATTAGTATGCAAAATTATATTTGAATTATTAAGAGATTATTCTAAAATATTATTTCAATTATTTTATTTAAAATAATTAATTTTAAAATATAAAAAAATAATAACAAATAGTTGGTGTTGTGTGTGTAGATGTATAGTTGATTTTTAATAAAATCAATGACTCTATTATTTTTTTTATACATCATGATCACACTCAATGGATGAAAATATGTAGAATAAATAGAAAAATATTTTTTAAAAATTAAATTATAAAATATATATTGAAGTTAATAGAGTGCAATAAAAAATATAAATTTGATTTCTATAAAATTTGATTATATAAAGAATAAGAAAATAAAATACATATATTCTATTTTTAAAATTTGATTATATAAGAATTAAGCAAATAAAAACTGATATAAAAAAAAACTTATGCAAATCCATACATAGAGAAAATAAATCATATTTATTAATAAATAAAATTCTATAAAAAAATAAGAATAAAAATGAACTTCATGAGAATTTTTATAATAAATTAAAAAGATCAATTTTTTAAAAAATAAAAGTAGTATATATTTATTCTAAAATATAAAAGCATATTGTATATATTATATAATCGTCGGTTTGTGTAGAAAAAAGTAACGATTGATTTTTAACAATTTTAACACCTAATTAAATAAAAAAAAGAATGTAAATTGATGGAAAAAAGAAAAGGAAAAAAATTAAAAAAAGAAAAGGCATGTAGTGCATGAGCTAGAGACTAAAATTTTTATTTTAAAATTTTAAGGACCAAAACAAAATAATTTGAAAATTACCAAAAAAAAAAAAAAACTAAGAGTGAAGAGTACATTGTGAGGGTAACACCCAATTAAATTTAAAAAGAACATAAATTGATAAAAAAAAAATCAAAGAAATAAAAAACCAAAAAAAAAAAAAGACATGCAAGTGCATCAATTAGAAATTAAAACTTTACGGATCAAAAAGAAATTCCAAAAAAAAAAAAACCATAAGTGAATAGTATATTGTGAGGGAGTGAACAGTGCTGCCATTGTTCAAAACCCTTCATGCCTTTTAGTTTATTAGTAATTACTTTCACATTTATGGAATCCTTTTGTTTTGTTTTTTTTTTTTGGTTTTCTAGATAATGAATAATTATCTTTACAAACTTGCATTCTAGTGTGTTTGGAGAGACTGCAAACTTCATTCGAAGGTTGTAAATTGGTTTTAATTTTTTGATTTATGTCATTTTACCTAAAAACAAAAGTTTTTAAAGAAAATTTTTGTACAAAAGTACTTTTAATTGAGACAATCACAATACAATATGTAAAACACATTATTACATCAACTTATAATCTTTCGTTCAAGATCATTATCATTATTACTAATAATCCTTGCAAACTTGCATGCTAGTAAATGAGTTTTTTTATCAAATGAGGATATTTTTAAATCTTTATTCTTTAAATTAAGTAATTTTAAACTTAATTCTCAAAATATATAATTTTTTACAACATAAGATATTTTCATCTACGCGACTTACTATAATTAATTTATCTTCTTCTCTAATACTAAACATTATTTAAAACTACAATCAAATTTAATGCTCTCCATACAAAAATTAAGCACTCCATGTGTTTTCTGCTTTGGTCGTTTCATTTTATATCATTATTCATCGATGGAACTTAACAGCCCATGACGAGTAAGAAAACATTTTCTTCAAAAAAACCAGACATATCTTACGAATCTCAAATTTTCACAAGGCCAAACTGTCACTCCTCAAAATAACCCAAGAAAGAGATCTTGAGAACTAGCATGATTAAGATCCCACTCAGATATACATACTTCATTGACTGGCTTTCTTACCTTCCTTCCATAGCGTATAATTTCCTTTCTTGGCATTATTAGGCAAAAGAGGCTATTCCATGTTTTCCGTTTCTGACTTTCCTTCACTTTCTCATTTCTTTTCAAAATTCATTTTGGTCATCACCCCCATTATTCTGATCCTCTCCATATTCATAATAATAATAAAATAATAATAAAAAATTATGGATCTTAGAGTGCCACGTTGTATACAACCCCACATGCCCCTAGCTGTCGACCTCGCCCTCACCATCCCCATGTTAATATGCTTGCTCTTCCAGATTCATAAATGGCATCGTCTTTATGAAACAAGCTCGGATTCTGGTTGATAAAATTCCAGATATATATAGAATCAAGAAATCACAGGGTTGGCAAATCAACATCCTCTCTTTTTAAACTTTGTATGTTGATGCAATGAAAAATCTTCATCCGGAGATTTAATTGGTTTTGTTGGCCATGTAGCCTTGGTTGCCAAAACACAGACTTGGGAAGAAGATCGTGCATACAGTTTGTATATGATGGTGTGCCTCTCCTTTTGCCATGCTAGATGAAAGAGAAGAAGAGAAGCGGAGGATGAGGATGAGTTCCAGCTTAATCTAGAAAGTTTGAAGCCGGATATGAACACAGTCATTTCATTTGAATAAATACCTATTTTGATAAATAAGTTTAAAAATATTCTATTTTAATAATAAAGATTTAAAATTACCCTATTTTTAAAAAAAGCTACTAGTAAAGACTGCGAACTTCATTCAAAGGTTGTAAATTGGTTTTAATTGTTTGGTTTAGTTTATTTTACCTGAAAAAGAAGTTCTTAGAAGAGATAGCAATACATGTACCGGCATCATTAATTAATTTCTTTGCATTCGAGTATGAAAACGGACTATTTTGCAGACTACTATCAACCATCTCTTATTCTTTTTGTACAAAAATCATTTGAATTGAGACAATCACAAAAGAATCTATAAAACACGTTATTATATCAAATTAAAGAATTCGCACGTACATGTAATATCATACCAACAACTTTCTTTGTAGCACATTTTTCTTTTTTGATGAAATTCTTTGTTGCAATTGTTGCAGTGAAAGAAATAAAAGAGAGAATTGTATCATGCAAGGAAATCAATCCATCGAAACAAATGCGACTAACAGTGAGGCAGATCAGCTGGAGGTGGTGGCAAAGTAGACTCTTTCGTCGGTCCATTCTCAACCACGAAAGCTGTGGCTAATCCCCAGGGCAAGTGCACATCCAGATGACAGTGCATGAACCATACTCCTGGATTATTGGCTATGAATCTTATGACTGCCCATCCTCCCACTGGCACCCCAATAGTGTTACGCGATTGTGGATTTACGAGATTGAACTTCTTAGAGTCTTTTATGGGATCATAATTTCCAAACCCTTGAGCCAACACATGGAAATTGAAACCGTGTAGATGCATGGGATGATTTTCCACACCGAGAATGGCTGTGTTCTGAAGCACCATTTCCACTGTAGCATTATACTTCAACACCTTCACGCTTGTTGATTGTGGTGTAATTAAGAGGGATGGATTTAGGACGTTGATGCTGGCATTAGTGTAGTCGAATTTGATTGGAGGAGTGTCAGGAAAATCAGGAGTGTAGATTCCGCTCACATTGAAAAAGAAGGCTTGCAAAAGGGACAAACTTGCTGGACGAACAAAAGAGTGATTGTTCATGCTGGCAGAGAGTCGCGTCCCATTTAGACAGGTTGGGCAAATGGAGATCCCCAGCCCAAATGTCACAAACATGCGCTCATCGATCTGCCGTGGGACTGGAACCCAGTGAGGCCCCCCAGCCAAGCCAGTAATGTTGGTGAAAAACTTATGGGCAGTAGGGGTGTCGTTGAAGGCAGGCACTCGAGGCATTATGGGAGTTGCAGGTGTTGGTGCACCTTCGTAAACAATAATTCCTCTTGTGGTTGTGTTATCAAACCGTACACCAGCAGCACTAACATATGCATTTGCGGCCATGTAATAAGACCCCGCTTCCTGGTCGGCTGTGAGGAGAACATCCACGGTCTGGCCAGGGCCGGTGACAACAACGTCGGTGACGTAGGGCACCGTGTATGCGGCATCAACAGCAACAACTGTCATCTTATGATTGGCTATCTTGAAGAAGAGCTCATTATTGATTGCAGCGTTGATTATTCGAAGGAGATAAGTCTTTTCTTTTTGTACCTTAAGCTTGAATATTTCTGCGATTGTGGGGACCAAATAAACCATAAAATAATAAGAATTAGACAGTTTCAAATAAATAATGAATTCCAATAATGATCAAAATGGTTATCAATTCGAATTTCAAAATATATATATATATATATATATAGCAGCGAATTTACGTAAATTTTAAATTTAAAAGACTTTTATTTAAGTACGTAGGTTAAAAGAATTATATAAAATCTTATAAATAGTTTAATTTTTTGAGTTCAGATGATTACATGAAGGCATATCATTACTTACTATTTTCAGAGCAATTGTAGAGATCCCCAGGGAGTCCATTTATTGTGTAGGCATCCGAAATGTTAGGTGGTATACCAAGAGCAAAAGCCTGGCTTTCGACATCAACAACATTAGCATTCCACCACTCTCCTGCAATCATATAACTAAACATATTGTAATTACAAAAAGCATTGATTATGTCACTTTAAATTAAAAAAATCCAATGGGTACCTAATAAAATAGGAACTTCTTTGTAGGGTTTAGGGAAAGGGTAAGGACGGCCGGATCTTGGACGGATAATGAGTGCCCCGTAAACTGTTGCTCGGAGCCAACTGACATGAGAATGCCACCATAGAGTACCTTCTTGCTGGAGGAGTTTAAATTTGTAGGTGTATTTACCTCCAGGCGGTATTGGACATTGAGTTATCATATTAGGTCCATCTGCCCAGGCACTAAGTATCTGAAACACTCCATGCCTGCATTAAATAAATAAATAACTAGTCACAATTTAATTGAATAATGATAAATTTTTTATACAAGAATTATGATAATTTAAAAGTAAGAGGATAATAGTGATGATAATGAAAGTTATAGAGCCAAGTCTTTTATAATTTTTTTAATCATGATTATATTAGCCTACGCAGTAGTTGAAGAATAACTTTCTCAAGTATTCAATTAAAGTTTTTTTTTCTTTTTTTATTGAATAACATGAAGACAAATCTGATAGTATTGGTATCGTTATCTAAAGAAAAGGATATCTTGTCATCTCATTTGAGTTAAAAACAAAGCAACATCTGACTGTTATTGAGAAATTGAACAAGTGATAATTAACATTATTTTATATATGGCCAAATAAGTCTTGCAAGAATTATTGAATTGCTGGTTTCTGGAAATACCTAGCTTAGCGATTTCTGACAGAAAACGTTTAGTATATATTAGTTATCATCGATTGGAGTTGACAAATCAACATGTTTATTTTCTTATCCACTTATTAGAACTTTTCCATTTGTCTAGGGGCTGTTTGGTATTGTTTCTGTTTTTAAATCTTTGAAAACAAAATATGATTTTTTAAATTGGCAAGTTTTGAAGTTTTATTTTTTAAAAAAAAATAGTTTTCAAAAATTTTCAAAATAAATATTTTATACTTCTAGCATATGTTTTAGAAGCCAGGTCGTATTCAAAAATAAAAAATTGGCCAAGGTATCGAGATCAAGTCGCTGGAGTTCGAACAAGGATTGGGGCCATGGTTCAGCGCAAGACCTGTGCCAGAGCGCAAACCAGGTTCGGGTCTGGGGTTTGGGTTGAATTCGGATTCAAAGCATTCGGATTTAGACCGAACCAGGTTTAGAGATGGAGCTGAAACCAGGACCATGTTCTAGAAACCAAAATTTTGGTTCAAGGAGTCAGTTCCAATAATTCAATTATCCAATTAAAGCTAAATACATTAAAAAAAGAAAAAAGAAAAAAAGAAGAATAGTGAACCAAATAAGTTTTCAATCTTTTTAAAACTAATAAAAATTAAAAACAAAAATGATACGAAACGGTAACCTAACTTCTTAAGTAATTAACGAAGGATTTACCAGTGTATTGTCAAGTTGTAGGGTGACATGTTAAAAACGTGGACTATAAGGGTGTCACCCTCTCGAACGCGAAGTGTTGGGCCAGGCAAGCTTCCATTCACTGCTGTTACCACTTGCTCAGAGCACAGCCGACGAACTGTAAGGTTTTGCACCTAAAACATTCACAATAAAACACATCAGTCTGCAAAGGTTTAAGCAACTAGAAAATCTTTTTCCTATCTATTATATACAGCATACTAATATAGTAGGATATGCAAAGTTTCGGCCAGGGAGGGACCGACGGTGAGAAAACTAAGTAATCCACTTTCTAAGTAGGGTTGAATGCTAGCTAGGTCGGTCAAGAAGGGACCAAAAAAATTCCCACTATATTATTTAGATCGTGGGCAGAAATGTGTGTTGGAAGTGCAGTGAGTTGCCAATGAATTTATATTTCAATTGACGTTCATGTTTGCTTCCATTCTAACAGGAAATCTCGAGTTTGAATCTCTATTATAGTAAAAGAAAAGAGTATTGAATCTTAGGACGTAGCAGAATCAAAGGTAATATCTTTTTCCTTGATCCCTTTCATACAAGCCTGAACATGATTTTGATCTTTGGACTGAAGATGAAACAAAAGGGTATGGCTAATTTGGTGAATGTGTTTCCTCTGTCAAAACTTCAAGTTGACTATCTAGGAGGATTTGCATATAAACCGGGCTACCAGTATCCTATCCTCGGCTCTTATATATCGTGTAATGACCAATTTATCCTCATGCAATCTTTGCATGGGGTAATTGATCGACCAAACAGTAATCTACAAGGACCATGATGAAACTTCCTCAACGTCAACAAAAAGAATTTGTGCTAATATGAGAGCAAAGATTACATGGAATGAGTGTTCCACAATTGCAGCAGAAGCTACTGAAGAAGCTAGAAGAACCAAAGCAAATGTTAACCAAAACAGAAGACGCAACATGTTTGAAGAGAGAAGAGTTCGAAGAAATAATAATGAAGCACTAATTTATAAAAATAAAAAAAGACTTGGCAAATGTTTGTGGTTGCCATTTCGAAATCTCAACACAAATATATATATACAGAAGAATTATACAAGTTTTGAGGGTCATAGCCTCCACACGATTGCGTGCTTAAGTAGTTAAATTCTTCTATGGATTTCTTTGGCAAGAGATTTGAATTTGAAAAATTCAATGGGTTAGCAAAAACTTCGTTTTCTAACAGCTTAAGTTAGCCTATATACATAAAAAAGTGCAAGTGTCAAGAGTCTTGACTGCTCAAGCAAACAAACATTTTCGAATAGAGTATTTGTGCAGTGGTCACAAATATTTTTGAAAAAATTAATCTCCTCATTCTATATATTCCTTTGCAAAAACATAAAGGTTATAAAATAAATATTTTCATTAAAAAAAAAAAGTGTAAGTGTTGAGCGTCTTCATTGCTCAAGCAAACAAACATTTACGAATAGAGTATTTGTGTTGTGGTCACAAATATTTTTTAAAAAATCAATTTCCTCATTCTGTATATTCCTTTGCAAAAGCAAAACGATTATAGAATTAATATTTTCCGTTTCATGATTAGTTAAGGCTTATAAATTAATAATAAATTTATTTATAAATTTCAATACATAATAATAAAGAATTACAGATATAGTCTAGTAATGATATAATTAGAAGTAAGATTCAATTCGATAACAAATCATAATTATCTTATTAATGATATGATACTTAAATTACTTTGGTTTAAAAAATAATCTAGTAATGTTCTGAGTGTTTGGTATTGGTCTATTATGAGAAGTGGCGAATTAAATACCTCAGTCTCTTTACCTATCACAAAAGAACTAGATAACACTTGAAGTTGACATTTGGCTATCTATCATCCCGATTTTCTAACATGAAACCTTTTATATTTCCATATATTATTAATTAAGATCTTTTGTATATATAGAAAATCGAATTGAAAAAGGCAGGCTTGACGGAGCCAGAGAAAACAATAATTCAGAGAAAAAGAGACACCAACTGCACATTACGAATGAGAGGGTTGAATTTTTATTTCCATGGACAGCAATCAAAAGTGAATGGGTATCTCTAATATTAATCAATGGAGTAAATTGTTGAACCGAGTAAAATGAAGGGAAAAACAACTCATAAATTCCAATTTTTAATCACAGATCATAAGAACCTTTTATGGTCCTCACTTTGGTGCCGAAGGGAGGTAGTCCAATTAATGCTATAAAGTAATTTTTTTTATATAATATACATTTTATATACATGTATACTTTCATGGGAAAACTCAATTAAGTCCTTAGCTGTCTTTTCCTTCTGTACTTAAGCAGTATCTATAAACTTTTCGTCTTATTTCTTAATTAATGGGTTAAAAAAGAAATTAAGCAGGTCTAATATAAGAGTTGAAGTCGAATCTGAAATCAACGATAAACCTATTTGCCTAAATAACCTTTCTTCTTTGTCTCAAAAAACACTAGTAGTCTCTCTTCGTCTTCTTTGTTTTTTTTTTTTAAAAAAAAAATTAAAATCAAAATTTGTTGATGGAGAACTAAAATTATAATATTAAATTTTATTTCTAAAATTTAAAATAAATCTATAAAAAAAAAATTAAATTGATCGGTTGGGTTAAAGTTTTTTAAAATTGAGAGTATTTAAGACGTTTCATTCGTTATACAGGCGTAAGGAGAGAATCTTGAAAAAAAAACATAGAAGTACTTGATCTCAAACAAAGTATAGGGAGTTCAAAACTGAATTTCAAAGAACAGGAATTAATTCTCAAATTTAAATTCAGGAGAGGTTTTACTAGTATAGATTATTTAAAATCAAAATTTTTTGTTACTTTTTTCCTAAGGTTCCATGTACATTTTGCATATAAAACTAATGAAATGACTTAAATACCTCCAACTTCAATCCCCTTTAACCTAGCTTATCACTTTTATTTTTTTTTCTATAGAAATAATTTTAAATTTTAGAAATAAAATTTAATATCTTAATTTTAATTCTTCATCTACAAATTTTGGTTTTTTTTTTTTTTTAAGAAAAAAAAGAAGAGATTTTAAGGCTAATGGTTTTTTTTTTTTTTTTTTTTTAGGCAAAGAAGAAATGGTATGTAGACTACTAGTATTTTTATGAAAAATCAAATAAAAGAAACTTAAAACCAAATTTTTTGGATGGAAAATTAAAATATTAAATATTAAATTTCATTATTTTATTTCGAAAATTTAAATTTAATCCTATCAAAGAATTAAAAAAAATAATCAATTAGGTTAAAGATTATTGAAAACGAAGGTATTTAAGCCATTATATATATGTATATATATTAGCAACTTAGCGAGTATAAGGTCATATGTCGATCAAATATGGTGTCTTCTTATGACAAAAACAACAAAGCATGAGTGGAACGGTGCTTTCTCGTCTCATAAACCAATCGAGTTTTAAGTTTTAATGAAATGATGAGTATGTTCTTATAACCAACCAAGTTTCGACGAAGTCTTAAAACTTTAATGAAATGATGCGTTTGGTCTTATCACTAACCGGGTTTTGACGAAGTCTTAAGTCCTTTACCAAACAATGCGTTTGGACTTGTAACAAACCAAGTTTTGTCGAAGCTTTAAGGCCTAAGTGAAACGATGCGTTTGGTAATATAACCTATCAAGCTTCGATGAAACCATAAGATTTAAATAAAACGATGTGTTTGATTTTGCTATCAATCGAGTTTGATGAAGGCAATATACACGAAGGAAACAAAAGGATAGTTATTAAATAACTATTTGCGCTTAAATTTAAATAAAAAGTAGTTGTCATTCAAGAGCTATTTAAGGAGGGAAGACCAATAGAATCACGGACGATCAGCAATACTAGACTTCCTAGATAAGTTTATTTAAATTCTTTAGTTTATCCTATAACGAGTTAGTTCTTACTTTCTTACAAGTAGTGCATTAATCTTTTATTATTTTCAGTAATTTTATCTTCATAACTTAGAAAGCGTTAATATGCCGAATGACATCAAACATCTTAATAGCTAACAATGTAAGTCTAGTATCTTTTGATTTATGATATTTACACTTTTAATGAATTTTATCTCTTCGATTGATAAAATTACGTTTATTTTATTATTCACTTTTTAAATTAAGTACGTAAGGAAAGTCCTAGTGGCTTTCTAGGCAAAATCAAACCTTATAATATTTCATCACGAAGAACTTAATCACAAATTAAAGCTTCAACACACTCGTTTTAAGATTAAATTCAACAAGTTTTGGTGACCACGAGTGGGAAAAGAAATGTCAAAACGTAGTATTACTAAAAGTATGACAAGATGTCAACTCTCCGAAGGGGACCAAATTGGCCAAATATTTTTGTTTTTATTGATGGAATTGTCCAAATTTTGAAAATGAATGTATGATGGAAACCATGGAAAACCATAATCGCAAGGAAAGCAAGGCTAATAACATCCTAGAACCTAAAAATGTAATTGACAAAGAACAATCCGACAATCAAAAGAGATTGGGTGTTAAACATAAAGAACATGCGGGTTTTAGATAGAAGTGATGATTCTAAAAATCGAAACCATGATGTTAGGAAATAAGTACCTAAAGAACGAATGGTTGAATTTCAATAAATGCTAGTTAATCGGATCGAAAATGTCTCGAAGAGGATATATGATCCATCTTTGAAGATATGCAATCGGATAAATTGACACATACCTGTTAGTGTCAAACTAGCTTAAAGAGTATATCTATAAGATAAAGGCTTCTGTAGCCAAATCATAAAAAAAAAAAAAAAAGAATAAGAATATTGATAACCATATTGTTGAATTAATGGATTGTATAAGTTATCATAGCAATAGAGTGATTATAGATGTAAATCACCAGTTTAATGAAACTCTTATTCCATTGGCTAGACAAGTAGCGAACGAAATGGAAATTATTATCGAACCAAGATTCAAAACAACTATAAGCATCACTTGAACAATGAAAGAAGATATTTGACGAGTTGTAATTTTAGCAAAAGGAAAAGGGAAAGAACCGACCAAAGAAAGGAATTTCGACATTAACAAGGAAATGAGGTCCTCAACGATCAAAGTCGATCGAAGTTCCTTTAAGGTATCCGTCTTCTCGCTCATAATAGGCCATTTGACAACAAAAATGGTCATGACATGCCATAACATTCTCATGGACATGCTTCCTATGGCCAACCTAATGGCTATTCATCCTAGTTATCAACACAACCAATATCTCTATACTATGGTCCTTTAAACCTACCTCCAAGGGTAACAACAAATTTCCCACCACGTAATACGCCAACTATGGCGATAGTAGGGGAAATGGTGTGACAAGACATCCTGTCATTAGGAATGCAACTAGAGAATTGAATAAAAAAAGCTTTAGCTAACATGATTAAGATGATGTACGAATCACGAATGCAAAGGGTCAATCATCCTATTTATCAAAAGCCGTATCAAGATTATGTCAACAGGGAATATCCATTCTCTAAAGAATGTTTGATCTCCCGAATTCACTCGTTTTCTAGCGAAGAAATGTTTTTACCTTGGAACACATTGCTAGATTCACTTTTTAGTATGGAGAACTATCATAGGATGATTTCTTGAAGTTATGTCTCTTTCCTAGTTCTTTAATTGTCGCAGACATTCACTTGATACATCAATCTATTACCAAATTCCATCTTCACTTAGTGGGATATGCAAAATGCATTCTAGGCTCGGCTTTTAAGAACAAACCCCGAAATTTTAATAGCATACCTAGCAAGATTAAAACAATTTCAAGGAGAATATATAGAGTAATTTCATTCAAGGTTTAGAAAAGTTAGAGTTCGATGTCGAGTTAATTTATCTAAAAGAAAATTTTTACATTTCCCATAAGACGGTTTGGATTTCGAACTCAAAAAATTCGAGGGCATGATGTTTCAAGACCTTTACAAATTAACGGAAAAACCGTCAAGG